ATTTGTCAAAATTGTTTTCTGTTAAAAAATAAGTAAGAATTTCAAAGGATAAGTTATTCACTCTTTTATCTCCAGGGCAACCTGACAGGTTACCTGTATAACTCGACATGTTTGCGGTCAGCTCATTCTCTCCCATATACTGTGTTCACAGCAAGCAGCTACTGGAGGCTTGAGACTTGTTCTTCCCTAAGAGCGAAGGCTTCTAGTAATTCCAAACTCCAGATTGAAAGCAGTGCCTAGACTCCTCTTCATACTTCACTATGTGGAAGCTATTCCTCAAGAAAAATATTTCCACAAAATAGCAACAAGCATAATACAAGTATATTAGACAGCTGAATGTAGCAACAGCAATCTATAAAATAATATGCCTACCTAGGAACACCGTCAATTTTAAGTCCAATATCTATACCTTGTTTTTCTGTAACTGTGGTAGAAGAGCCCAAGGCCACTAATTTTTAAATATTTATCCAAATGGCACAAAGTTTGGGGTGAAGGGTGTCTTACAACGTGGTAGTTCTAAAACTCAGAATCAGTAGAGTTTAATAATTAAGGAGGTAAGAGGATAAAAACACTCCTATGTTTTTCAAAAATATTTATTTAAAAATAAGATTTCTAAAAAACAGTACATAGTACATTTCAAGAAGTAAAAATTCCACAATTTAAATTAAAAGCAATTTGCAAAGAAAATAGAATATTACATGAATAAAACAAAATCACTAAAATAAATTAAAAGCAATGTTGTTCTTAAGGTAGATATATAGTCTGTTTTCATTTGAAGAACCAGTGTAGATGTCTCATCTAAACAATTAAGTACACCCCACAGTTCTGGCCCAGCTGTCATCTCCCTCCCTCTCTTCAAAGGACTCATAATTCTCTTACCCACCCTCTCTTCCTTATTGCCACTAGCACTGGAAATGTTAGTGAAGGTTTTCCTAGGGTAAGAGACAAAACAGCAGATGAGGCAGGCAAATGCCCCCAGACTCACACACAGTATAGCTGAATGAAAGCACACCCAGTAAATGTTAAGACAGGATCTTCCTAGGCACCTACAGTACACACCATTATTAAAACGCAAACAGTGTTTTCAATTAGGGATATGTGAGAATTGGAGCTGATAGCAAATTTTAGGAGCATCAGAATGACACAGGTGTTGTGTAGTGATTAAACCTGACAGACTGGCTCCATGCACCCTCTGTTTTCCTCTGTCTGACCTTGGGCTTACAACCCACTCATCCAAACATCTCTGATTGGGATGAATTTCTTCCTTCTGTATCTTTAGTTGCTTTTATTCTATGTTGATTTTTTTTCTTTGCTTTTTAATAATCACACCAGGAGACAGCAAGCAGTGGCAAACTCTCTCCTATCTTTTCTTACTTGAGAAAAATGACTATGCTCTGGCCTCAGACAAGCAATGGGTTCGCTAAGAAACAATGTAGTGGCAACACACTCACAAGAGCCACAGCGCTGTCCCCTCCCCTGCTTTCTCTCTTATTCGCTCATCTACACACACTTCATGCACATGAGCTCGTCACCTTTCAAGTTTTAGACTTGATTCTTTTTTCCATTCAGAATTCACCCCAAAACCATATATTGCATCAACATTCCAGGAGACACAGACTGAAGCGGATGGAAACGACACAAGCATTTTCAGTGACTGTCCACTTTTCCAGCCACCTGCATGCTTACTTGCTTGGCTGAGTGATCAGCCGCAGCAGCTTCTGTTTTAAGGAAACACTGATAATTGTCTGTAGAGCTTCAGGGGAAGAACAGAGAAGTCAATCATAAGCAGCAGTACTGCACCTTGACAAGTCTATCCAGAAGACTTTGGTCTGCTAGTTACGTGAAATAAATCACTGAAAAATTAGTTTGTAAAACAATCTGACTCTAATTTTCACGTATGGTGACCAGCAGCACCCAAACTTCTTTTGATGTAGAGTTCAACTGTCAGGGTGTTTGCTTAAATCAATGTGCCTTTGGACTTCCTATTGGGAAAGTGTTTGTATATGCATGTGTTTGTGATTTTTATGTTTTTAAAAGTGTCCTTTAATTTCATTCTCATTTTCAAATTAGGCAAATACCTGTATCATTATTTAAAGCCATTAAGGTTTATACTCCCACCCCCCACACACAGAAATACTAAATTCTGGACTTGTAATTCAAAATGAACCCATTATTTGCCCTTTATTTTAGCATTTGGTTGACCAGTCATTAAAAGTGTCCAACAGAGTACTTTGCTTATAGAAATAATTTTTTTCTTCACTGCTGAAGTAAGATCAAGGCGGGGAAACTTTTGAAAAGTGATTCAATAATCTTTAGTAGCTTCAGCCTATTAAAATACCTTATAAAGTAGCCACATTACATTAAAGTACAAAATTAAAGCCCACACTAATCTGCATAACTGAATAAAAATAAGTCTAAATAAAGCTCATTTTCAATTGACTCTGCTGAAAGTAGGCTGTCAATAGACTGTTCACTTCTTCAGACACAGACGTGAGAAGCTCTCAGTCAACCAAAAAGAAAAGTAACTCTTTGGTTCAAGAATTAAAAATGTAACTCAATGGTAAAGTGAATAGCACCAGGATGTTTTAATTGTTCAGGTTGTAAAACACTAATTTCAGGCACGAGTAGGTTAAAATATCATCCATCCACACTGGCTTGGACATAGAGCTATCAGTATGCAGTCACGTTGTCTTCCCTCTACCTGACAGCCTACAAACAACAAGTCCCTGTGCTGAGTAAAACAGGCAAGCAAAGCACAGAGGAGGCATGCCTGCAGTTCCAGCAGCTCAGGCTACATCTTTCTGTATAAAGTTATTGAGATGAAAACTATGTTTTATATGTGCAATTAGTTAATTACACAGTTGAGCAGCTATGGGAAGCACTACCTGTACACAGGAGGGAATAAAGCAGAAAGGGCTTCAGAAACGAAGACCTCCAGCGTCTCATGAACACCAACAGATTCCTTCCTTCCTTCCTTCCTTCCTTCCTTCCTTCCTTCCTTCCTTCCTTCCTTCCTTCCTTTATAACTAAGTTGCTGATTTTCTCTGATGACTCAGTATTCTTTCTTTGCCGTAAGACTCCTCAGACAGGTTCCAGATCTTTTCAAGCTTTGGGCAAGCTATCATTTCTCCTCTGTAGTTCAGCTGCACTTCCATGTTATTTTTTACATGTGCATGCTAAAAATGCTTTAAGTTAACTTATCCTACACAATTATCTGAAATTAAAAATAATCTCTCAAGAGCATCTGACCAGCTAAGGAGAAAGAACAGCAAGTGGAGATCAAACAGCTCAAACCAAATGTTTCCCAGAATGACTGTGCAGGTATCTACACATACGTCATAGGGCTTTACAGTGACATGTGTCAGTGGGGATGAGGAAGTGGCAACAGCAGTGTTGGCTATCACAGTCAGCTCTTTTCCGATGCTGACTACTCATGTCTACTTAGCCTTTGCGCCATCTTATTAATGTCCCCGACATTCTTAATCTACTTTTTGGATATTCATTACTCATTGGTACCTGAACTCTAGGGTAGACACAGGGGGAAAGTTGTAATATAGTAAAAGATATGATAATGAAACATCAGTATTACCAATGACTTAAGAATTTTAAGCACTGAGCCAGGGATATGCCTATAATCCCAGAACATGGGAGGCAAAGGTAGGAGGACTCTAAGTGCAAAGCCAGTAAAACCCTGTCTCCAAATAATAATAATAATAATAATAATAATAATAATAATTTGCTTCAAATTATCACTAGCAGATAATATTGCCACATCTAAAGAACTGATAAAATATTGCTGGTTTTAACAAAATGGCTTTTAAAAAATAAATTTTTGTTTAAAAATGCATAAAGATAATGGAAGAAGTGAGAAAAGTAAGTCACTTCTTGAAGTTAAGTCATCACCATCACAAAGGTAGCAGAAATGCTAACTATTGGTTCATATAGTCAGTGACAATACTGATATAAAGTACTTCATATAAACAGCTCCTAATACTTTGCCATGTTCTACTATAAAATTTTGTACAATCTAAGAACAGCTAACCATAAATTATACTAAAATTTGTATTTGTAAGTAAGCTCCAAGCATGGTACCTACAACAGAAGGCAATAGCAGATGTGGGTACTGAATCATATTCTCACTCATTAGCTAATTACATGGTCAATAATGCTAGCAAGTAGAACACACTAAGTTTACAGGACTTACTAACTACATTTGCCAATATTTGTGATTCTCAAAGCATTAGTAGTAGAGGTGGATGAAAGTCTAATGTTTTAACTATTAGTAAATTACATAATGTCTGTAATAATATTCCAATATATGTATTATAGTAGAGGTCATGTCAAATTTTACATAATAAAGTACCATAGTTTAGTGAGCTGTAGCTAGGCTATCTGCTTACTAATGTATGTCATACAAGAGAACTACCCAGAGAACAGACAGTCTAGACAGAAATTAGCATAATGCTAATGAATATTAGTGCCATACTAAGCCACTGCAAGACAAATGTGACTTTTTTTTTTTTTTAGTAATACATGAAAGAACATTCAAACATGAACTAACACAAAAACCTATGTGGCTTATATCTAAATTCATTTGTATCTCCCATTTGGAAGTGTGTTCTTGAGTCTTTGTGAATACTGTTTAGAATTAATACACCTTTTGAGCAAAAACAGTTACTCATATGAAAATAATCTAAAGACTCATTAAGAACAGCTAGAATGAGCCACCGTTCTTAATGAAATCACTTCTACACAATAATGAAATGCTCTGAGATGGTCAACTCAGTTCTTCTACATCTAGTGTACAGCTATTGTCTATGTCCTCTTCCTGTCTTTTCCTGGTTCTTGGGATTAAATTCTGGGCATCTTATACACTCTATTGTTGAGGTACACAGCAACCCCTACTTTATTACTATTAAAAGTAAACTGTCTTCTGAAAAACAGGTTACTATGTTAGCTACAATTTTAAATGGCTTTTATGTCAACTAAAACATTTTAAATATAATTATAAAACAAAATAGGTTTTTATTTTCATGTAATATCAGTTAGCTTAGTAATTTGAAATGGAAGCCTGGTAACAAAGACTCCTTAGTAGATTTTTAACGTTTAGAAGATTCTGAACTCAGTCGTTTGTTACCTACAACAAGTTTATCCAAACCTTTGATAAAAGGTATCAAAACCTTTGTGTGTGGTGTGTATGAGATAATGAACGAAGGAATGGACGGATGGATGATGATGGGGGAGGGGGCATGAGCACCTAGGCATGTTTGTAGAGGTCAGCGGACAATTCTACAGAGTCAGGCGCTTTTTACTTCTTCCCCTAAGTGGGTCCAAGTGTAGCCAATACATTTATATATGGAGCCACCACGCAGGCCCAACTCTAATTATTTACCAAGTGTCTGCAGCTTGGTCTTAACATTTTAACTGCAGAATCCCAAGAGGTGACTTTGCTAATGTAAAAATATTATTTAACACACATTTTGCTAAAATTAAATAGCAAGTTTATAAATACTTTAATGCAATATAGAAATGAAGGGGCAATCTCCTTGCTCCACTGCTCCTTAAGACTCCACATGTGCAGTTATTCCCATGGTTACTCAGAGGGACAAATAAAGGGGCTATTGAATCTACAGGGGTAACTCTCACTGAGAAGGTTTTTTAAAAAGCAAAGAAAAAATAGTATTATTAACCAATTACTAACTATTTTAAAAGCAATTGAGCCTGTGTGTGTGTGGAAGGGGACCATCCCAAAATTGAATTGAAAAAATTAAATGTACTTTTTAAAATATTCATAAAACATACCAGATAACACAGTTACCACAGCAAGTGTAATAAATGCTTTGTTTTGTAATAAAATAGTATTTTAAGTGAGTTTTTATAATGCTAACAAAATAAGTTGCCAAAATAAGGTTTAAAATAAAATACATGAAATAGCTTATCCTAGTCGAAATTTGTGACTGACAGTAAAAAGTATACAAGAATACACATACATGAAGCCAAGCAGTTTACCTAGAAGGAACATTACTGACAGTAACACATTCATTTTCAATTTTTATAAAACTTTACACTTTTATACATATGTTCCTATAAGTGTATACTTCTGGCATGTTCACAGACTGGCCATACAACCCACTAACAGGACAGTAAACGCCTCAAGAGCCAGAATAATTACATCAATTAGCCAAAAGAGGGCGCAGAAAGAACAGAGGAGCTTAATCCCTAGGAAAGAAATGGCCAACAGGCTTTTCTCTAGGAATCTAATGAGTGATTACAAACCCCTCTGTGGGGTTAGACATATACATTTGACAATACTATGTAAGTATATACAGATATACTGCAATATAGATTCTTATGTAAATACATCAATAACAGCATTTCTGTAGATCAAACTAGTGCATTAAGTCCAATGACTAGTTAGGAAACTGAAAAGAGAGGTCAGGACCAGGGACAGTAAAGAGAAGATAGTGTGCCCAGAAGTGGTAAATGTAAGCAGACCAAACCCATAGATCTTCCCATTACCTTGTGTCAGAGCCACTACTGCTCCTGAAGTATAAAGCAGTCTACAAAGCTCCATACTGGGCCTTCACTCGGCTCTGCCATGGATGCTCCAGGTCTTGAGTGAACTGTACATATGCAGCCGAAGGCATTCAACTTCTATCTCCTGACGTTATATATACACCATTTCCTTTAGTAACTGTCATTGGCCAATTTTAGTCAATCAGCTTACAGAAAATCCAGCCCCTTTGCCTATACTAAAACATACAAATTTTGTTTCCTAACCTTTATAAATGTTTCTTATATTAAACTTACTATATGTCTTAGCACCAATAAATATTTTCATCTGCCACTTCTAAGTTTTTAAATAATAAACATAATTAGAACATGAAAATATGGTATTACTATTTCTGCAAAGAGATTATTCTATTCAGAATATGTTATAAGACATTTACAGTATCTGAAAAAACTAGCCACAGTATTTCCCAGCTATGATTCCTTACAACTACTTATAAGAAAAGTATGTATATGGTTCAAGAACGGTAGATTTGTTCAATATTCTTTTGCAGGGAAAAGATCACTAAGCACGCAAACATGGATTTGTAGTATCCTAAATGAAAACAAATCATACAAAATGCCTTTGTACACAAAAGGCTCATGTTTGTTAAGGGACCATCACTACCATAGATCATTCTATTTTATGATAATTTCCTGACATTAATAAAAGGTCTCTAGAGAGATACAAATTATAACTGGCCAATGGAAATTCAATTTCAACTTGGGTGATTACTGGTATATAAATTTAGTGACCTACTTTTAAACTTTGATATGAGTTGACCAGTATCTATTCTATAATATATAAATCTTCAATGTGTACAGTGAGATCTACTGGCAGATACATAAAAGTATACACACTTTAAAAGCACAGTTTTCCTCTTTCCACTGTATATTACACACCATCTAGTTTAGCATTTTAAAACATCTGCTTTCTAATATAACTGCACTTGAAGAAGTAACTGGAATTATTGCAAACTTCCTACCCTCTTCAGTCAATAGAATCTTAGGGTAAAACAGGAATATATGCCTGACTGGTCACACATTTCTCCTGGGAGCAAGTATTCTAATAGCAATCCGTGATTGCAGTAGAGGGGAAACGTAGTTTCTCCTTTATGATAAGGTAGTAGTGATGCACTCCACTCGTGGTGTCGTCTGTGGCTCTGAGGAGGAGTACAGAAGAGCATCAGAGAGCTGCTCCTCGGCAGGCACTGCCCCTTGTTGTTCACTGCATTGTAAAAACCCTGCAGCACATATAAAAGCAAGTAGTCATAGCATTTTAACTTATATTAAAAAAAAGAAAATTTGCACATAACAAAGTGTGTCCAGTTTTGTAAACTTGAAGAATTAAATTCAAATTTGGTTAGTACTGCTTAAAGGTAAACATAAAACATCTCAAATTTCCTATAAATTAAAATTTAAAATATTGTGAGTACTGAAGAAAATTTATGTACAATTGTTTCATCCCAATCATTGCCTTTTGAGCTCAGTAACAGATGCATTTAAAGAAATCCTGGTGGAAGGCTAATTTAAAAGTAAACATGCTTTTAAAACTTAAATATAGATCTTGTATTAGTCCCACAACAGGATCAAGATCACTATTAAAATGAAGCCTGGGGCACATTATGATGCCTAAGATTGGTGGGTGGATTTTAATTGACTTGAAGACTGTCATAGTTCTATTCTCATAAAACCTGTAACGCATTTCCAGCATGGAGGACCCATCTGGGCCCACCATCCATCTGTTTAGACGTGATTGGCAAAGTGGTAGGGAACTCGCAGTGGTTGCCTCTGCCTGAAAGGAATGAACCACAGGATCTTCCAACGAGTGCCAAAAACTTCTGAGAAGGTCTGCTGCCATGGCTTTCGGGGCCGCGATCTACAGAAGACAGCATTATTAGTGAAAGACAGCACTCCCATGGTGCACTTCAGTCAGCTAAAACAATACAGGTTGGCTGGGGATCCATTACTGGACTCTGATGCATTGTGTCTCAGCATCACAAATACAGCTTTTCTTTCAATGTGGCATGCAGCTGAGCTTCAGCTCTGGATAGCAGATATTGTATCTGCATCATCAATCAACCTAGGGTAACTCTGGAAGCAGAGGAGAAGCTCAGCATAACAGAATGTGTGTCAACAACACAGTAGCAAATCTCTTTTGATGTACTTTCAGGACAAATAATTTAGCTTACTTCTGTGAGACAGGGAACAAGAGTGATCAGTACTTATTTTGTTTAAAAGCTCTCATGGATGAAAGACCCCTACTATAAGATGGGGATATGCCTGTCTAGCTTGGGCCTCAGACAGGACAGCAAGAAAAAAAAATCAATATATTAGTTTTCTACTATTAATGTAGACACATAATTCTCAAAGTTGGTCAATTGTTTCTAGTTTTAAATAAGATCACTGTAACTTTATACTTACATTTCTTCACAACAGTTTGACATTTTTTCAATAGATGTTGTATCCTATTAAAAACAAAAAAATAAATTCAGATGTAACAAATTTATCGATACTTCTATTTTATGGAATATGTAAGCCTATCCAGAAAATATTACAAAGATTTAACAAGTTTGTATATCTATATACATCCTGAAGCCCTCTTAGAAAAATAAAATCAATATTACATCATGTCAAAAAACTAGTGAACTATAAAAATATCAAATACCTCTCCAAGAACGATTTCATTTGATTATAACCTCTGAGGATAACTGGTTCCTTGGTAATTCTTTTAAAAGACTAGTTGTTTCTGTTTAACTCAACTTATGCAAATATACATTAAAATAAATATCAAAATAATACATAAAAACCATCAGTGAATATAGAACTACAAAGAAGCTTAGAATACTACTGGTTCTGGGTTTTATAGACTTCTATAAAAAACAAAGTCAAGACAGAAAATTTATAAACTGATCATGTTACAGTATGTTTAAATTAGAAAATTAAAGTTAGATAATTAATATTTCTTAAAACAAAGAAAACAAAACATTTCTTAGTTTCTGAACAAACAAACTGAACCTTTACAATAATACAACTTCTTCTGTGTGTTTTTACCACAGTGTAATGCAGACATAAAAGGAAAGCTCTTCAGCAGTTTCTGAAAGTATTGATGTAAATTCTAATAACAAAGAATCTGTCAATTACATTGACAAACTGTTATGATATCTAAATGCCCAATATATAAATTGTTCAACCTTATATATAGGTAAAAGCTTAAAATGTAAACACATCTTAAAGCAATACAAAGGAAACATTTTTCAAATATGCAAAAACATTAGCTAATCTTCATCATCTCCTGTGATCCTTGCTAACTTGTTCTCTTATGGCAGATGGTGAGTAAAGCAATAGTAATCAGAACTATTCATGGAATATTTGTCACTGCAAAAGTAACTTGGCTCCAAAACCTTCCCTTTCTGGTGCTAACCTTTCATATTCAGTGATGTTAGATAAGTACTCGTGATGAAAAACGGTCAGACATACTGAGCACGCAGCTAGCCTCTACAAGGGAGAAGGAAATCTGCTTTTTATGAGACTAGGAACAAACAATAGTTTCCTTTACAGCGTTTTCTGAAAATCTGCAAAAAGATGGCAGATTTACTACATATTCCACATATGTTGGGTTTTTATTATGCCTTGAAATTTGACAACTATGTTGAAAATAAGATTCTTTTTGTTGTGTTGCATAACTTCCTCCCAAATAGTATTTTATTCAATCTAAATGAAAGCAGTCTATAAATACATGAGAAACTATCTTAAGCATTTAGCGAGGTGGTTCTCAACCTGTAAGTCGTGACCCCTTTGGGGGGCAGTGTAGAATGGCCCTTTCATGACCTAAATGACCTAAAACCAACAGAAAACACAGATATTAACATTACGATTGAAACAGTAGAAAAATAGTTATGAGGTAGCAGTGAAAACAATTTTATGGTTGGGGGTCACCACAACAAGAGGAACTGTATAAAGGGCGCAACATTAGGAAGGCTGAGAACCAGTAATTTAGAGGAAAACTAGGCTTCAGGTTAACATCTAGAAAGGAAATGGAAAAGGCCATTTGGACAATGTTTTAGGGTGCTGGGCAGACAGCAAAGGCCATTGCAAAGGAACAAACACTACAGTACCGAGGGAAAGAGCAGACAGAGTCACCATATGCTATCTCTAGAGCAGTGGTTCTCAACCTTCCTAATGCTGGGACTCTTTAATACAGTTCCTCGTGTTGTGGTGATTTTCAACCATAAAATTATTTTTGTTACTATTTCATAACTGTAATTTGGGGACTGTTGTGAATCGTAGTGTAAATATCTGATAATCAAGATATCTGATATGTGACCCCAGTGAAAGGGTCTTTCAGCCCCAAAGGAATCTTGACCTGAAACAGCATAGACAACACCTTCTTTATACCTAAAAGCTATGTGAGGACAGGTGAGACAGGGTTGGTCTACTGTCACCTTTATACTGGGACCGTTTACTACACAGAATCTACACTATAGAATTTAGTTGTTGACCTGGGGGTTGTAGGGGAAGAACTTTCTTTAAAACCTCTCCAGGTTTAGCTTTCTTATATAGAAACCCTTTAAAGTTTTCGGACATCAAAATCAAAACATTTAAATTCTCATGAGTAGATAGCTACTCTTTCAAAGGGCGAGATCTTTCCTCTCTGTAAATAGTAGTTGGGAAGCTGCCTAAATTAATCTACTGTTTTCTCTAGAATGGCGAATGCTCACCTCTTTCCACCTCTGCCAGCTAGAATACGGTTACCACAGAAACAGCATAAGGTCTGTAGCTGAGCACTCGCACAAAGTAAGCACTCAGTCTGGGAGGCATCGAGCACAGGAGAGCTAAGCCCTACCATTTATAAGCAGGCTGTAGTGCACTGGACAGAGACTGTCACTGAAGGAAAAGAAAAAACCACAGTATGCACAAGTACTAAGTTAGACTTACTTATTTTGTTTTGCAATGTGGACAAACATGGGATATTTTTTAAGCATACTGAAAATACTCAAACCTTCTACTGGCATGAGGGAAGGACCGACATTCTACAAAACGAATATAGATACAAGATACAGCCTCAGCTAGCTAGCAAATAAACCATTCTTTTAGAAACGTGAAAGTCCCACATTTACTGAGTGCTGTGATAATTAGTTCTGAGAAATGTTTATGCCTGGAATGATCTAATGATCAAAATATCTAAAACTTCAATCAGCCTGAATACCTAAACAATACAGGAGAATGCCTCATTATTTTAAAAACTGGAGTTTTACATTAAAAAAAAAAGCAAAAAAGACTTTCAGAAACAGGTCTATTCTCTCTTTTAATATCTTGTCTTCCCCTAACAGCTAATCTTGGCATAAAAATAGATCCTTCAAATTCAGTATAAAATATGTTTGACTATAAGTGAAAACTATACCCTAACTTAATGCTGGATTATGGCTGGAATGGATAAAAAAGGATTTTTAGCAGAAGAAAGAGATGAATTTATTAGAAAACTGAAATGGGGTATAATATGAAAAGCAAGAATTTATCACCATAGGTTTCTTAATTACCAGGTTAACAGGGCTATAAACGCAGCCCCTGAGCCAGGCTGATAACTGCTCCTGCCTTCAGTTGACTCTCACCAAACAGCACAACCTGGCCACATACGTTGTCTGCTGGGGACAAGAATGTACAGTAGAAAGACCTCAGACATACTGAGCAACACACAAAGGATAAAGAGTCCATTTGGTTCCAACAACTGTCTTCAGAGTGTGGAAGAGTACTTGCCTTTGGGCCTGTTTAACTCTGGAAATAGTTTCCAAAGGAGTTTCTTAACATACCAAATTTAAGACCTGATGAAAGTAAAGGTGGCCATCAGAGAGAAGCCCTTTAACACACCTGCATATAGCCTTCACAGTCAGTCACCTGAAATCTGTCCTCGAAGGTCTCATTGACCAGGGTGCCCCTATGCTGCACATAGGTGTTTAATTGGTTGACGCTACGCTGACTTACTGTATGTAGGCTTGGAAACACTGTTTGGGAAAGTGTTTTGTAGTTTGAGGTCATATACCTGTTCTGTCTTTGAGTTCTCCTAATTGTAAGAGCTTCATTTGACTGCTTACTAGTATATAAACAGTAGCACATTTAATTTTTAAAAAATTGTATGTGTGTGTGTGTGGTGCTGAATGAATGAAGGTGCTAATGGAGGCCAGAAGAGGGTGTCAGATCCCCCAAGGCTGGAGTTACCACCCCACCCAACAGAGGTACTCGGGATCTCTGCAAGAGCAGTACATCTTCTGAGCCATCTTCCTAACCCCCATCTAACTTTAAACTCCAAAGCACCTAGCAGAACAAGACTGAACAAATTGGGAACCTTTAGTACATATCTGCAGGACAGAACTCAGCAGGCAAACCAGAAATAGCGTAATTCTTTATTTTTAAGTTTGTTCAATGGGAAGGCAGAGCGTCTTGTTAACCTTTATTCTCTCTCCTTCCAGTTTCCTCATGGAAACTGGCAGTTCCTTAGCGGCCATCACAAGAGAGGACCAGCTGTGTCTTTTATTTGAAATGTGAAGCTCACATAAACATTTCATCAATCGCAGGACAATGGTGGAGATGCAGAAAGTTTTATATTTGTAGCCACTGAAAATCATTTTCCAAAATAATTTCTCTGCTTTTTTCAACAAACCACCATCTGGCTATACAAAACAGGTACGAAATTAAAACTTCACGCCTCAATTTCCAAGTAGGAATGCTTGCCTTCAAAGTTTTTGTGAAATTAAATGGATCAATGTGCATTAAAACTTCTAATAAATCCTCAATGACTAAAAATCCTTATTTTTATTAATTCACTTCCTGATGCTTAGAAGAAAACAATATCTCAATTAGATCAGTTACTCAAATTATGTTTAAACAAAAATTTATAATAAAAAACAAAATGACAAAGAATATATATACAATCCTACAATCATAAGGGACTTAAAATCTAGTCATAAAGTAAAACCTCCAAATTATATAAACTAGTGTTCATTCACTCATCTATTTATGTAGAGTAACTACAAGCTACATGGCAAAGTCTTAATATAAAGAAAGACGATGGTCAGCAAAGGTGTCCACACACACACACACACAAAGAAACTACACATGTGTACATATGCAGGCCACAGAGGGTGACTGTGCAGAAAATACTTTATTAAGTAACCTAATGGTCACCAAAACAGCTAAAAATTGAAATATCTATGCTTAGAGTCAAAACCCAGACCCAACTATTTTGCATTTTAACATCAAAATTATCCTTTTGATGAGGTTTCTGATTATCAACAGAAGACAGAGAGTTAGAGAACTCAATGTGCCTTTAGCCTAGGTTTTGAGAGATCACGAACAAATAGGATGTGAGAGACACTTAGCAAAGATCAAAAGTGAAAAAATATAAGATCCACGTTTCTTCTAACCTTGCGGTGCTTTAAATTCAGGTTAAATATCCACATGTGTTCAGTTCATGAGATGGTAAGAGCAATTTCTGGGGAAAACACCAAGTAACAACAACACACAAAATGCTTAGCAACACAGCAACATAAAGTGTCTCTACATTCTAGCAGCCTATCACACTGAGCAAAGAGAAACGAGGTAGAGAAACACTACTGCTCAGGAACAAATGTATACAAGTCATTCAATTCCACATGTAATTTTTGTTACTATAAAAAGGAAAAAATAGTCTCTATAAGATTCTTTATTATATCTACACATAAACAAATATGTCCATGAGCATGAAAAGCATCTAAGAAACATAATAAATTTAGATGACATTTTTCAGTATTTTAAAGGAGGCAGTGAGGAGATATGTCATATAACTTTACAATTGGAAATACTGTACTAGAAATACATATATATATATATATATACATATACATATACATATATATAACTTAGGAAGGAAAGCAAAACAGCGATCTCTCTTTAAAGAGAGTGAGCGACAATGATCTGTATGTGTGTGATTCTGGCTGCAAATGAAGTGTGTCAGGCATGATTTATATAGAGACTGTACTAATACACCTCACTGATTCACTGATATTTGGCAAAATTCAACTATAAAATTTGACGATTTTAGGTCTACATTTCTGGCTACAGATTTATAAAGCAAAAAAAAAATCCATTAATTGATTAGTAAAATGTTATTTAATAGCTAATCTACTTTAATCTGATTTTGAATATAAAGTATTTTTCACTGTATAAGATTAGCCCCAGTTAAAATTATGTCACTGTCTTAGAAACTATTCTATTGCTGTGAAGAGATCCTGTGACCAAGGATCTCTTAAAAAACAGCATTTAATTGGGGCTTGCTTCCATTTGCAGAGGAACATGGTAGGAACATGCCTAAAAGCACACAGCATTCATGGTGCTGGAGAAGAAGCTGAGACTCTACATCCTGACCAGAAGCTCAAAGCGCATCCCTAGTGACACACTTCCTCCAAGGCCACACTTCCTAACCCTTCTATTCCTGTCACAGAGTTCTGCTTCCTGGTGAGAAAGTATTCAAGTCTATGTGCCTATAGAGGCCATTCTTAGTCAAACCACCACAGTCACTCATGCACTAATGATCCTTTCTATGTTTAGGCAAGTCTTGACTACAAATCACACATGGGACAGTAGGTATAAGGAGAAATATTTTCTATGCAACAGTTTTAAAATTTATCTTTCATGTCCAACTCGAACCCAATGGCATCTGTGAGACCAAAGGCAACACACTTATAAAATTTAAGCTTCTACAACGCTGGAGCTCAATCCATCTTCCTCACCCTATCCCTAACTTCAGCACACTGAGCTCCAAAGAAGACATCAGACACTCACACTAGCACACAAACTGCTGTGCCCAGCAAACAGAAATGCTTGTATACAAAATTTAGACAAACTGTCAAAAGAGTGTCATGGCAGATAACAGCTCCCTGTCAGGACCTCCCTAGGGAGCTGAGCAGCTGTTAGGCTTCTTGATTACACCTCCTGTCACTGGAGACCGGACTGGTCTGGCTACCCTGCACTGTTAACAGCAGCAGGGATTTTCCTCTTGCTGCCTGGGACTACTGCTCCTTAATTCTGATGTCAATTATCTTAATAACAACATCACTGTCTACTTCACTCAGATCCAAGAGCAAAGAAGGGCTCCTCAGCAAAGGCTGCTAAAATAATGTTTCCTAAATAAAAAATGCATCAAAGCCAACTGCTTTCCAAACATGACTTCCAGTATTCATTCAGCTGGAGCACACAACACAACCAGACTTATACACTTAAATCCTAATTTAAATAAAATCTGAAAAGAAAGTAAGCCCTTAAAATTTTGCTTTAGATTAGTCGATTTACTAGAAATATCTGATATGTATTGTTTCTGGTCCTTTAATAGAGTTTATTCATTACAGGTTAAATGAAACAATGAAGAAATAATTACTAAAAATGAGAGCCCTGCTTCTCTGACACCTTGGGCTAAGCACACGAGCTAGCATTTATTCTGCTCACTTGTTTAGTGGACCTACATTCAAGCTAGGAAATTCTAGTTCTCTATAAGGAAATGATATCCTTTCTTCCCAAAGAGATGACGAGGACAGGGGTAGGGAGGGTGGCTCGGTCCCCTGTGACTCCTCCATGGCTCTGATGCTATCTTCAAACTCACCTCTAGCTCACCTGTGCTAGACCTGTGCATTCAGATATGATGAAGCCTATAGGCGAGCTTAGTTAATACAAGATAGAACAGAACAAGTCTTTATAAAGAAGGGATGCACAGTCTGTATTTTCAATGTTTTAAATGTTATTTTGTAGGGATGGTAATAGTTTAAATAGATTTAAAAATATCACACACTGAAAATATGACAACTATTAAGCCTCAAAATGAATTCTGAATCAGCAAAGAGAGGAGTAAATTCTGAAACTACTATTCACTTAATCCAAAAAAGAACAGTGCTTGACAGTCACCACAACAATCCAATGACATGTATAAAATTTACTCTAATTTCTTTATCTGTGTGGTGGCTGTGTGTGCCTCTGTGTGTGTGTGTGTGTATGTGTGTGTGTGCGCACGTGTCATAAGGGTCATATGACAGGGTCTCTCACTGAACCTGGAGCTCGCTGACTCAGCTACTAGCTGGCCACTGAAGAGGGAAGGCTGCACTTGCTTCCCTCTCCTGACGCAGGGTTACAGATGTGTCCTGCCACACCTGGCTTTTATTTGTGAGTTCTGAATCCAAACTCAGGTCCTCACATTTGTGTTACTGAACGAACTGTCTTCTCAACTCAATAAAGAACAATTTCCTGTATGAGCATCTGTATTTGAGGGCAAGAACAGTGGTTAAAGATCAGACTGACAAAGTATATTCCTCCCTCTCGGTGCTTGACCTTTTCCTGAATGTCTCATACATGTACCATTTTGTGTGCTTTCTACTCAGTTTAGAAGTAACATAGGAGAGCCCAATTTCCCTGCTTAGTACAACAAACTGCTACTCAATATTAAAAAAAACAAACGTACAATATGAAAATAATTATTAGCATGTTGTATTGTGAGAGTGTCAGGTTAGGACGAAGCAAGTAACAAATAACTTACTTATTCTGTACAACTCAGAATGCTCAAAGTTTACAGTAGAGACCCTTTAAAAAGTGTGAAATAGTTGCCATCCCAGTACAATCTCAGAAGCTAATGGGTTTTGTGGTGGGAAGGAAATTGTGACTCAGCCGCAAGCCTCTGCCAGCCCTCAGCAGTGATGTGCACTTCCAGCTATATGTTCCCAATGTCCACGCCTAACCATTAACAATAACAACAGGGGAATCTGAGAAATTCTGCTTGAGGGATTTAAATACCCAGTAGGGATTCTGACAAATTCAAAGTTGGAAATTAAACAATGTGTATAACTTGTTGATTCTGACATGACTTGTACATTAGAAGCTCGATCTTATTAACTATTCATGAATGAGCTTGACAGTAAAGAGCATGATCTCAGGGAACAATCACTATCTTCAGCACTGTTACTCAGAACCGTGTCACTTGTTATCATTACTACCAAGAGGTATTAGAAACAATTTACACTCGATGGTTAAAAAAATAACAATAGAAAAGATTAAAATGGACACTTCACAAAGCTCCACAAAGTCCCAATAAGCATATAAAGAAGTGTTCAACATCAGAGAAATGCAAATAGAAAAAAGTACTATTTCCAACAGAAAAACTACAGCTAACAAGACTGTTGTCAAGAGGATGACAAAGATGTGGCACAACTGAAATTCTCATACATTGTTGGAGGACAGTGTCTCATTGGATAAAAGGTCCAATGGTGGGGGAAATGGCTCCATGTGACCCAGTAATTTCACTTCTAGAACATGTTTATTATCACAGAAAGACACTCTAGACCTCTGAACTGTCATCCTTAGCCTTCCAGCCCTATGCAACCAGAATGCCATTTTCTTCTTCTAAGTACCTATTCTACACATTTCATACTAATTGCCTTGTTGAAGTATGTGGTCTTTAAGTTAGCATGTCTTCAAGGTTACTGCACAGTACCATGTATCAACACTTCATTCTTTTCATATTCTCACGGGCAAATCACACATCCTTGCATCTACATAATGGGCAGGTACTGGATTGCTTCCAGTCTGTGGCCCCTAAGAAATAGCTGCAGTGTGTATACATGCTCCTCTTTGGGGCTGGATGTAGAAAAGGAACTGGTAAGTCTAGCAGGAACTCTGTGGTTCACTGTTACTAAAGAACTCTGCAACACTGCACTAAGTCACACATACAACAGTGTGTGAAGACCAACTGAGTTCTAAGGTCTTCTCACATTGTCTTAAATAGAGCCCCTTGAAGATAAAAGTCATTTTGATGAAGTCCAACTTATTTTTCTCTGGTAGTTTTCACTTGGGTGCTCTAAGATACCAACATTGTCAATTACGTTCTCTTCTGAGAGTTGCTGCTCTAGGTCCTCCATTTCAGCACTATAATCCAGAGAGACAATCTTATTGTGACTATCTATGTGTCCCAGAACCATTTGTAGAAGATTGTTCTTTTCCACACTTTAATTTGTAAACTTCCTGTAGTATTTTAAAATGAAGTCCACAATTACATCATCTGTTTATACATGACAGTTTTTACATTAAAAATATACTTACTGTGATGATGCCAATCAGTTGTGTATAAAAGAGTCCAGTTATTCCAACTAACATAGTAATGCCCATGAAGGCAGCTAGCCTCATGATAGCCAGTTCATGCCGAACAACAAAGAGGTCCTACAAAGAAAAGGAAAGTCTTTTAAATGACTTGCAGTATTGCTAACTATTGAAATCACAGCCAATACGCTGCGCATACATATTCCCCTTACTGTTTCCTCCTTTTGTTCCATGTCATCAACACATAAATATTTGAAAATTTAAAAAATAACTTTAGAATTTACAACAGAAAGTTAAAAACTATAGGATTTCACTACTGTATTATATTTTGAAATAATAATCTCTCTCAATCCCAGAGTTACAAGTTACCTTTCTAACACACACACACACACACACACACACACACACACACACACAAATTTATGGAAGAAAACAAAAATCAGAAACACTATAGGGTGTTTGGTCCACAAAGGAAAGTTTGTTATTACACTGCTAAAAATTTGGAATATAGAGGCATGATTTATAATACTCAAATACCTACTAACTATCTAATTTAGCACCATTGAGGGGAACCCTCCATAACAGGACTACAAGAACAACCTTCTCCATTTGTTCTCCCATTCAGTTAGCCCTGTGCTGTACACACACATAATAAAAAACAATGATGTGCTCTACGCACTCCCACATGTCCCATGCTGTAACTGGAGATGCAGGCACACAATGCTGCCAAGATGGAAAGGAGCATGGTGGGAAATGGGAACTGTAATAAGGCAAAGGTCATTTTCTGGTCATTTCCAGGGAATGGAACTGAGAAATCTGAACATGAACTATGCTCTAACGACAGAAAGACAAAGAACAATTCATTTGGCATCATGGTTATTGAAAATACCAAGGGAGAGTGTCAAACAATTAGTATTTCTCCAGGAGTCAGTTGCTGTTAAACTTGGCAGTAAAACAGCCAGTGTTAGATACAATGGATGGACTGGAAGGATGCCCCAAATGCAACCATTGCATGCTTCCTGACAAAGGTTAAGGATTACGAGTGTTGTGGCAATCTCAAAAGTAGGGCCAGGAGTGAAGGGTGCAAAGCAAGCATCCCAGAGCTTGGGAGTTGAAGGCAGCAGGACCAGAAAGCCAAGGTCAAGCTGAACAGCATGGAGTCAATTTTCTGAAGAATGAATGAACAGACAGACAGATTTGTTTATTTGAAACATAGGACTGATGCCTTTCTACGGAGCATCCTGATAAAGCTTTAGACTCAAAAAAAAAAACAGCTGGCGCTATACCTTCAATAGATACTCATTAGCCAGGAAAACTTAAAACTCCCCAAGCCACTTGAATTGTTCTGTAACAAATATTATGCTGTTACCCAACATTTCACTTTTAAAAAGTCTAATTCTAAATACTTATAAAAATAAAATTGAGCCCTTCCACCCCTGCCTGGTCCTTTGGGCTGGGGCAGACACAGAATCGGTCTGCTCCTGTCCTGTGGAGATACTGAATTCCGAGTCATCCTAGAAGAGCCACTGTACTCAGAGCAGCCGGTAAGAACTCCATCTCACTCCCTAAGCCCCAGAGATACATCTGGGAGCCAGGGACATTCAGGACACAGCAGCTACCCAAACCCCGCCCCTCCGGAATTCCACTTCCCTTCTGCCCCTGCCTGGTCCTTTGGGCTGGAGCAGACACAGAGTCGGTCTGCTCCTGTCCTGTGGAGAAACTGAATCCTGAGACATCGAGGAGCCACTGCACTCAGAGCAGCCGAGGAGCCACTGCACTCAGAGCAGAAGGATTTCCAGATCCAAGAGGTGGCCTGAGTCCCAGGAGTTCTTCCACCCAGGAGATTAGGAGCATAAGACCACAGAGACATCTGGACTCCGAGGAGCTCTGCAATAAGCAAGATAACTGGAAATACAGACTCCAGTCTTACACAGTGAGGGCAGGTACCACTAGAGTTAACCAGATGGCGAAAGGCAAGCACAAGAACATAAGCAACATAAACCAAAGTTTCTTGGCATCATCAGTACCCAGTTCTCCCAATATAGCAAGCCCTAAACACCCCATCACACCTGAAAAGCAGGATTCAGAATTAAAATCACTTCTCATGATGATGATAGAGGATTATAAGAAGGAATTAAGTAACTCCCTTAAAGAAATACAGGCGAGTACAAGTAAACAGATAGAAGCCCTTAAAGAGGAATCACAGAAATCCCTTAAAGAAATGCAAGAAAACACAAAGAAGGAATTCAACAAAAACATTCAGGATCTGAAACTGGAAATAGAAACAATAAAGAAAGTTCAAAGGGAGACAACCATGGAGATAGAAAACCTAAGAAAGAGATCAGGAGTCATAGACGCAAGCATCACCAACCGAATATAAGAGATAGAAGAGAGAATCTCAAATGCAGAAGATACAGTGGAAAATATTGACACAGTTGTCAAACAAAATGCAAAATGCAAAAAACTCCTAACTCAAAACATCCAGGAAATCCAGGACACAATGAGAAGACCAAACCTAAGGATAATAGGTATAGATGAGAATGAAGATTCCCAACTTAAAGGGACAGTAAATATCTTCAACAAAATCATTGAGGAAAACTTCCCTAACCTAAAGAACAAGATGCCCATAAACATACAAGAAGCCTACAGAACACCAAATAGACTAGACCAGAAAAGAAACACCTCCTGTCACATAATAATCAAAACATCAGATGCACAAAACAAAGAAAAAATACTAAAAGCAGTAAGGGAAAAAGGTCAAGTAACATATAAAGGCAGACCTATAAGAATTACACCAGACTTCTCACCAGAGACTATAAAAGCCAGAAGAGCCTGGACTGACATCATACAGACCCTAAGAGAACACAATTGCCAGCCCAGATTACTATACCCAGCAAAACTCTCAATCACTATAGATGGTGAAACCAAGATATTCCATGACAAAACCAAATTTGCACAATATCTTCCCACAAACCCAGCACTTCAAAGGATAATTGATGGAAAACGCCAACACAAGGAGGGAAACTACAACCTAGAAAAAGCAAGGAAGTAATCTTCCAACAACCCCAAAAGAAGATAACTATACAAACATAACTTTACCTCTAATAACAAAAATAACAGGAAGCCACAATCATTTTTCCTTAATATTTCTTAACATCAATGGTCTCAATTCCCCAATAAAAAGACGCAGACTATCAGACTGGATACCCAAACAAGACCCAGAATTTTGCTGCATACAAGAAACGCACCTCAGTGACAAAGACAGACACTACCTCAGAATAAAAGGGTGGAAAACAATTTTCCAAGCCAATGGTCACAAGAAACAAGCTGGAGTAGCCATTCTAATATCAAATAAAATCGACTTTCATCCAAAATTAATCAAAAAAGATAAGGAAGGACACTTCATACTCATCAAAGGAAAAATCTACCAAGGTGAACTCTCAATTCTGAACATCTATGCTCCAAATGCAAGGGCACCTACATACATAAAAGAAACTTTACTAAAGCTCAAAACACACATTACACCTCACACAATAATAGTGGGGGATTTCAACACCCCACTGTCAGCAATGGACAGATCATGGAAACAGAAACTAAACCGAGACACTTTGACATTAACAGAAGTTATGAACCAAATGGACTTAACAGACATCTATAGAACATTTCATCCTAAAACAAAAGAATATACCTTTTTCTCAGCACCTCATGGTACCTTCTCCAAAATAGACCATATAATTGGTCACAAAACAAGCCTCTACAGATACAAAAAGATTGAAATAATCCCTTGCGTCTTATCAGATCACCATGGACTAAGACTGGTCTTTAATAATGACAAAACCAATGGAAAACCCACGTGCACATGGAAACTGAACAACTCTCTACTCAATGATGACTTGGTCAAGGAAGAAATAAAGAAAGAAATAAAAGACTTTTTAGAATTCAATGAAAATGAGGACACATCATACCAAAACTCGTGGGACTCCATGAAGGCAGTGATAAGCAGAAAACTCATAGCTCTAAGTGCCTACAAAAAGAAACTGGAAAGAGCACACACTAACAACTTGACTGCACAACTAAAAGCTCTAGAACAAAAAGAAGCAAATACGCCCAGGAGGAGTAGAAGGCAGGAAATAATCAAACTCAGGGCTGAAATCAACCAAATAGAAACAGAAAGAACAATACAAAATATCAATAAAACCAGGAGCTGGTTCTTTGAGAAAATCAACAAGATAGATAAACCCTTAGCCAGATTAACCAGAGGGCACAGAGACAGTATCCAAATTAATAAAATCAGAACTGAAAGGGGAGACATAACAACAGAAACTGAAGAAATTCAAAAAATCATCAGATCCTACTACAAAGGCCTATACTCAACAAAACTGGAAAACCTGGATGAAATGGACAATTTCCTAGACAGATACCAGGTACCGAAGTTAAACCAGGAGCAGATAAACCATCTAAATAGTCCCATAACCCCTCAGGAAACAGCAGCAGTCATTAAAAGTCTCCCCACTAAAAAAAGCCCAGGACCAGATGGTTTTAGTGCTGAATTCTATCAGACCTTCAAGGAAGACCTAATACCAATTCTCTTCAAACTATTCGACAAAATAGAAACAGAAGGAACACTACCCAATTCGTTCTATGAAGCTACAATTACACTCATACCCAAACCCCACAAGGACCCGACAAAGAAAGGGAACTTCAGACCAATCTCCTTTATGAACATCGATGCAAAAATACTCAATAAAATTCTAGCAAACCGAATCCAAGAACACATCAAAACAATCATCCATCATGATCAAGTAGATTTTATCCCAGGAATGCAGGGATGGTTCAATATTCGGAAATCCATCAATGTAATCCACTATATAAACAAACTTAAAGAAAAAAACCACATGATCATCTCACTAGATGCTGAGAAAGCATTTGACAAAATTCAACATCCCTTCATGATAAAAGTCTTGGAAAGATCAGGAATTCAAGGCCCCTACCTAAACATAGTAAAAGCAATTTACAGCAAACCAGTAGCCAACATCAAGCTAAATGGAGAGAAACTTGAAGCAATCCCACTAAGATCAGGGACTAGACAAGGCTGCCCACTCTCCCCCACCTATTCAACA